ATCACAAATGTTCAATTATTGTATGTAAGTCAAAAATAATGAATATCTCAATTAAAATGAAAAACTCAAATTACCTTCTTTTTAATAACACATTAATGTTATAATTAATTTGTACAAACAATTATTTTAAAATATTTTATTTTAAAATTTTCTATGCAGTTAAATATTGATTATGAACGACGAAACTCTTACGCTACGACTTGTGACAAGCTCACTACAGGAAGCTACCTAGCAAACTTTACAATAGTCCCCACAGGGTATAGTCATGGGCCAATTTAGTTATTCGAAATTGAGTCAGTTTCAAAATTAGACGTTAGTTGGTAAATCCCTAATTGTCCCCATATAACTGCATACATCATAAACACATGAAATAGAGACACAACATAGCGATTTAGTAAACATGCATGATAACATTCAACATGTATCATCTCAATTCATTTTATACTCAAACATTTATAATAAACTTCTTATAACATGTTTTGTATCATACTAAAGGTATGCTCTCAATGTATGTCAAATCATAGCTCAACAATTCATTTCTCGACAAATGTGCATCGTAACGTTTAACATGCTCTTACATATATCAAACGAACTCATTTTAGGCTCAAATTTCTATGACATGCTTCTTATATCATACTTTCATGCATATTACAAGCATAGCTAAATCCAAGGTTCTAAGGTGCCATTTGCTTGGATTGTACGACACTTTTTGCTCGGATTCGAGTCTTTCAAAAAAAATTAAATTCCATCAAACTCCTTAAATATGCCTTAAATTAAGTCGAGAGAATAAAATGAGTGAAAATGACTCGAAAATAGACTCAAGAAGAGAAAAGTCAAAATATTCTTTTTTTTTTTTCTTTTCTCCTTCCCTCCCTCCCTCTTTCCTTTTCTTCTTCTTCTTATCTTTTCTTACTTCTTTATTTTTCAAGAATATATATTTTTTCACGTGGTGGGACCACTCTTTTCTACGGGCTTCTTCACAGATCTAATAGATCTAGTTAAACAGAATCTATAGAGATAAGAACAGTGACATTTGATTGAGTTTCAAAAGAGATATGAGCTGACGATGTTTTTAAAAAATGCACAAAACGTTACCATGATTGACACTCTCGATGTATTGAGTAATAAATATCATTTATTTTTCCTTTAGTCTACTAAGTACTAGGGATACAATTTAGTGACCTGGAATGAATGAATGAAAATGAAAGAATTATTTAGTTTAATTAATTAATCATTTGAAATATATAATATATATGAAATGAAAATATATTTATTGTATTTGAAAGTGCAGGAGTGAGAAATTTAGACAACCAGTGTCTAAAATCCTTATTATTTGATACACACACACATAGAAGAGGAATAAGATCAACAGAATTTGTTGAAGAAGCTATGGATGTGGGAGTTGATTTCAGAAGGCCTTTCTTGGTTCAGGAAATGAGAGGTGTCCTTCATTACAACCACTTCTTCCAAACCAGGCACGTCCCTCTTGAACCCGCCGCCATGGATGTACTCCTGAGCTCCTGGAAAATAGTACGTCAGATCCAGATCCCCCACTATGAACTTCACTGGCACATGTATTTGCGCCCCCGCCCATGCCCCCGTCACCTCCCAAGTCCTGCACCTCAAACATAGCATAAGCTCTCCTGACTTTGTATCACTGAAGATAGTATTTGTACGACTACTTTTCTCAATAATTCTCAGAAAAATTCTCAATAAGTGATGATGGTTATTACCGGTCAAAAGCCCGATAGTAATTGAGGCCGCCGGTGAACCCGGATTCGGTGAACTTTTCGGCGTAAAACTCGATGTCTTGAGGTGTGAGCCACGGTGCTAGCGGCGGCGGTGGAACCCCTTCGAATTTGACTTCACCAGGTAAGTACGGAGCTCGTGGGTCACGATTTGACAATATGTTCTTGAAAAAGTCTCGTATATCTACTGATGCAAACGCTTCCTCCGCCTTTCCGGGTTCCTGTTCAATTATGACATCGACTAATTAAAGGGTTGATTATGGATTTAAGAAATAATATTTATTAGTATGAGTTACTATTAAAGTGGACAATATGATACTATTGTGGACTCACGGAAGTTACCTGAAATCGGACCATGTAGAATTGGTTCCCAAGAGCAGCTTTGAAGCCTTGAATAAAGGGCGTTGGGGTTCTAGGAAAATACTGGACGCTCAAAATCACGGCGGACTTGATCCGATCCGGTCTAAACAAGCAGAAATACCAAGCGATTAAGGCGCCCCAATCATGGCCCACCAAAAACACCTTCTCAATCCCCATTTCGTCCAGCATCCCCACCAGGTCCCCCACGATGTGCAGGGCGGTGTACTTGTCGGAGGACGGCGGCGCGTCGGAGTCGCCGTAGCCGCGGAGGTCCGGGGCGATGGCTCGATACCCGGTGGACGAGAGGAAATCGATCTGGTGGCGCCATGAGTACCAGAGCTCCGGGAAGCCGTGGAGGAGGAGAACTGGCTGCCCGGCTCCGGCGACGGCGACGTGCAGTTTAATGCCGTTGGTTTTAACGGTGATGTGGTGGATGGAGTCCATTGGATTGGATGTGGTGTGGGATGTGGTTTGGGTGGTCGGTTTATATAGACCGGGCTTGGTTTGTCGGTTGTGATATGTGGAGAAACGAAATCATTTCATTTATTGAAAACGTCCTGTTAATTAAAATTTTAATTTGAATCAATTAATTATACGTGAAATTATTTTAATAATGTGACTTAATAAAAATAAAATATTTATACCATTTTAAATTTACTTACTAATGTTCACGTGCATGTCCTTATCCATTAACAAGACACGTTTTTTTTGGCTCTCTTCGCTTAGTATGAATGTCCTCATTCATTTATACAACACATTATCTCTTTGGTCTTTGCTTCATCATTTTGGTGTTATATATAGATTTTTTATTTTAATTTTTCGGTTCATTAGAATTTTTTTTAATATAATATATATTCTACCGACATTATTTCAAGATTACTTTCATAGATTAAGACGGATTCTTAACATGTTTTGTTCTCACTCATATATATTTTACGAAAATTTTCAACAGATCACCAAATATAAAATTACTCTAGCTAAAACACGTTTAACTATAGAATTCTTATGATTGAACCATCGAAAAGGAATATGCACTTTGTTAGTATAGATACTAACTTTTAGTTCTTTTAAACGTTTCTAGGGGTGTACATTCAACCCAACAACCCAGACCAACCCAACCCGAATTATAAGGGTTGAGTTGGGTTGGGTTAGATTAGCATTTAGGGTAGGGTTGGGTTCATTTTTCTGAACCCGAATTAAATCGGTTCAGTTTCGAGTTTGTGGAGCAAAACCCTCAAGTTCGACTCGAGCCAAATAAAAATATATTAAGATTTTTTCAGTATTAATGGATTTGCCAGAGCTAACTGATCTAGTGAGACTCACGCCCGAGTTTGACGCTAGAAAATTACATGTTTTTTTTATTATTTTGTTTAATTTATTTTATATTATTTTGAAATTTTGTTATTTTATTATTTTTAATTACTTTGTTTAGTTTTTTTATATATATTTATACGTGTTTCTTTAATTTCTTTTATATTATTTTTAAATAACTATTCATGTAATTTATACTATTTTTAAATATATTGTTTATTATATAATACCTACAATTAAATTATTTTTAAATAACTATTCAAATATTTTATACTATTTTTAAATATATTGTTGTATTACAAACCATTATTTAGTTTAAGAATATACTTTAGGATAGTTTTATTAATTATGATTTATACATACAAACAAAGGTCTATAGTGTTCAATGTTATTAAATTATCTATTTATTACAATATTATTATTATATCTCAATTTATATATTCTTTTTTCTAATAATTTAAAATCTTAAGTAAGTATATTTTAATTAAAATAATATATTACAATTTTATTTATATTTATTTATTTTTTCTTTTTGAATAATTATAGATTGATTTGAGTTTGTTGGTGAACTTTTAATATATTTTACAACCAACCTCAACTTTTGGTTGGGTAAAAAAAATCTCTCAATCTAATCCAACTCTATTTCTGAGTGAAAGTTATTTCCTATCTTCCATAGTGGTTTTTTATTAACACAAAAGACATAAATTCCTTTTTAATTCGGGTGTCACAATATATTTAAAAGAATTGAAAGTTATTTTCTATGGTCGTTTTTTATTAACACAAAGACATAAATTCTTAATTTGAAAAAATAGATTTAAGAATCAGTAAAATAAAATTAACATACTTAAAAATTACTCAAATATATGAATATCTTCAAAATAATAAAATAATAAATAAACAATAAACAAAATAATAGAATGATAGAATATTCAAGAGATATCAATGCCAAACGACTACTCCAACCAACACATAAATATGGAAATTATCTAGTTAATAATAATATTTCTGGTTTGGGTCAACCAAAAAATCACAATATAATGTTCAAAATATTTTTATTAGGTTAAAAAATATCTATAAAATTTTAAAAATAGCATTAACACTCTTTACCCTTACAAAAAAAATTTAATTTTTTTTATTGTCTATCGACATTTCATAGATTATCTCCAAACTTTTTAATCTTATATGACTATTTTTTAAACGTAGTATTTACGATAAGGATTAAAAAAAAACGTTGAAAATAATTTTGAACTTTTTTTTTTTTTTAATTAAGAGTATTTTTTAAACACTTTTAAAAGTTAAAATGATATTTGTGGTTTAGGGTTTAGGGTTTTGAACAAAAATAAAAATTAAGTCTCATTTTTTCTTAAAATATATCCTTCAACTCTCGTATATTATTTATTTATTTATTTTAGAAATTTAAAAATACTAAAAGTACTTTTACCGTTAACAACGGAATCATTAAACTAAAATTTAAATGCAGTTTTTTAGATAAATTTTAAATAACAATAAAATAAAATAAACAATCTGGCGATGAACTAATCGAAAACCAAAATTTAATAATGTTGACTTGAGAAGGAAGAAGGAGAAGCACGTGATTCACGAGGCCGTTCTTTCTCCGGCGAAAATGATCTTAATACATTCAACGCCGATCTATAAATAGTTGTCGGAAAGAAATTGATTGAACAGAGAACCAGAGAGAGCAACTGCCATGGATGCGATTGAACACACCACCATCAACACCAATGGCATCAAAATGCACATTGCCTCCATAGGCACAGGCCCCGTCGTTCTTCTTCTCCACGGCTTTCCCGAGCTCTGGTACTCATGGCGCCACCAGCTTCTCTACCTTTCTTCCGTCGGATATCGAGCCATTGCGCCGGACCTCCGCGGCTATGGCGATACCGACTCTCCGGAATCGCATACTTCCTACACTGCGCTCCATATTGTCGGCGATTTGGTTGGGGCTTTGGATGAGCTTGGGATTGAGAAGGTGTTTCTTGTAGGGCACGATTGGGGGGCGATCATCGCGTGGTACTTTTGCCTGTTTAGACCTGATAGAATCAAGGCCTTGGTGAATCTGAGTGTTCAGTTCTTCCCTAGAAATCCGGAAATTTCTTTCATCGAACGATTCAGAGCTGTGTATGGTGATGATTTCTATATGTGCAGGTTTCAGGTGAATCTCAACTTTGATTGACTTCTAAGAAGAGATTTAATTGGTTTTATTCCTGGCTGATTTTGGTCCTGATTTCGATTAATCTCTGTGTTCATCTTAGTTGCTTGTAGTTGGATATATAGTGTAATCAATTTGTTTTCTACTATTGATGCTCATAGCTGTAGGGTTTTAGTGTTCTGGTGTAGATTTGATCTGTACACTCACTCACATACACAATCGAAACCCTAGTTATGTGAAATCACTGTACTGTTGAAGAATCAAACCTTAAAATATTGCTTTTCTTAACATGTTCAAAAGTTCTATACAGCTTTTTGACTGTTTCATCTTTGACAAAATTAATTTCAGATCTACAAGCTGTTAAATCTTACTAATCTTTTCTTCTCTTCTGCAAGTGATTGCAAACTTTCCTGAAACAGAGTTGTGGAGAAGTTGTAGTTGACAGTCGAGTACCATTGGAACATTCCTTTTGACCTTTTTGTGATTCTCTCTTGATTCATTAAGTTGCAGATTAGAGAGAGTCCCATCTGAATTTTGATTCATCATCTGTTTGATTCATCAAATTTTGAGAGCCATATCGAACTTTGATATCAAAATAAAGTCTGTTCTACTGATTGACCATGTTTTATTAACTAATAGAGCAATTTCTGATATCATTTTTGTTGGAAACATGGGGATGGCTCATGCAAGCAGGAGAGATACAAATGAATTGATTGTGGTTCTATAGTACATTCATGGCATCTAGGACAACTAAGTGTAGATTGATTTGTAACAGGTTCCAGGGGAGGCAGAAGCAGATTTTTTCTGCATCGACACAGCTCAACTCTTCAAGGTAACACTATCTAATAGAAGTACTCATGCTCCATGCTTGCCTAAAGAGTACGGATTTCGCGCGATCCCGCCGCCTGAAAGCCTTCCATCTTGGTTGACAGAAGAGGATATCAACCATTATGCTTCCAAATTTAAGGAGACGGGCTTCACTGGAGCATTGAACTACTATCGCGCTTTTGACCTGTAAGCCATGTTTATTTACATCCCAAGTTCTCTGTTAATACCATTCCAATCCTACACTCTTCTCTGTGTTCTAAGTTCAACAATGGTTTTGTGTTTCGACATTAAATGCATGTTCTGTTTAATTCTGATGCATTTTCAGGGCAAGAAACTGTTGATTTGTGCAACGATTTACACAACATTATATTTCTACTTAACCTAAAGTTGTATATGTACATATACATGTATATGTATACGTATACCGTATACGTATATTATGTTTATATATATATGCTTTATTCATTGTGAGATCCCACATCAGTTGAAGAGAAGAACGAAGCATTCTCCATAAGAGTGTGGAAACTTCTCACTAGTAGACATGTTTTGAAAATCTTGAAGGAAAGTCGGAAAGAAAAAGCCCAAAGATGACAATAGCTCTGTAGGCTAGGTTGTTACAAATGGTATTAGAGTCAGACATCGAGTGATGTGCCAGCGAGGAGACTGAGCCTCGAAGTAAGTAGACACTAAACAATGTGCCAGCAAGGACACTGGGTTTGGAGAGGGGTGGATTAGGGGTCCCACATCGATTGGAGAGGGGAAAAGGTGTCAGCAAGTATGCTGGCCCCGAATGAGGTGCTTGTGAGATCCCATATTTGGTTGGAGAAGAAACAGAACATTCTTTATAACCGTGTGAAAACCTCTCACTACGAGGGGCGTTTTAAAAACTTTGAGGGAAAGCCCAAAAAGAACAATATCTACCGGTGGTAAGCTTGAGCGGTTACAATTTGTGTTTATTTTCCTCGCTTAGAAATGAAATACATATTGTTAGCTATAGAAGGCAGCTGATAACGTTGATGGTTGATTATGATATGTGAGTTGAATTGATGTTTATTGCAGAACCTGGGAGCTGACAGGGCCATGGACGGGAGCACAGATTCAGGTGCCCGTGAAATTCATCGTTGGAGATTTGGACATAACATATCATTTTGAAGGAGCCAAGGAATATATCCATAATGGGGGATTCAAAAGGGACGTGCCATTGCTGGAGGAAGTTGTTATTGTAGAAGATGCTGGTCACTTCGTCCACGAAGAAAGGCCTCATGAAATCAATACTCACATTCATGACTTCTTCAACAAATTTTGACCTCCATTTGCATTGGTGTATTGTTTCACCTGTTTATCATCTTTCTTTCAAAATTGCCAAAATTATATGCCCATCTTTTAATCTTATTTCAAAGTCGAATACCCATCAAATTTTCAACATCTAGAAAATTCTCGATTTCTGTCTTGTCGTGTTCCTTTTTATTTTCTCGCAATTTCTCATTTCTCATTTGTTTCCTCTCTTCTTAAATATCAAAATGATTGGTATGATATTGATATTGTCCACGTTGAGCACAAGTGTTCATACAATTCTTTCTTCAATATTTGAGGATTTTATTGACATGATTAAGTTTATGGCATAACTATGTTACCATGGCTTTCCTTTAAATTTCTGAAAATGTCTCATACTAATCAAGATAATATTCCTCACTTATAAATCCATGATCTTCCACTAAATTAACCAATTTGGGATTCATTTCCAATAATCCTCAATAGTTTTACCCTTAGTTTGACTTTGACCGATTTTTTTAAAAATTATATTCTTACACCTATTCCGAGCATATTTTCCTTCTTATCGACTAGAGTCTCGGTCCCCTAGCTCGGTCTACAATAAAATCTCATGACCTAATTATCATGCATATACTTGAATCGAATAGTTTATACCTGTTGGATGATGAAAGTCCCACCTCGGCTAATTTAGGAAATGATCATGAGTTTAAAAGTGAGGAATACTAATTCGATTGGTATGAAGCCTTTTGGGGAGGCCCAAAGCAAAGTCATGGGTGCTTATACTCAAAGTGGACAATATCATACCATTGTGGAGAGTCATGTTCGTCTAACAATACCCACACATGAATATAATAAATTTCAACACCTAAATAGATAATTTGTTTTAATTAAGGTGTTTCTTTCCGAGATAAGTTTAAAGAAATGAGTTATTTCAACACTCAAATAGATAAATAATTTATGTCCAAGAAAAAAGAATAAATCTTTTTTTAAATTTAAAGATATTTATGTTATTTTTTAAAATTGGTATCTTTCAAACATGCTATTAATTATCCAAAACTTAGATTTTTATTTAGATAAATAGAAAGTTTAAAGATATTTTTATTAATTTAATTTAATTATAATTTAAAAAACGGATCATCCTAATTAATAGGAAGGAAAGAAAAAAAAAACTAAATATTCTAAAATTGGGTTAAGAAACAAAATGCAAGCAAAATAAGCGGAAGAATCGGGCATCCTCCTATTTTTAATTTTTAACCTCCAAAAAAAAGCTTTATTTATTAACAATTTTCCAAGAGCTTCCCTCAACGCCATCCCTCCAAAAAAAATAAAAAAATAATAATAAATAAATAAATAAAATAAAAAAATAAACGAAAAAACAAATAAATTAAAAAAAAAACAAAAAACCGCAGTAGCCATGAAATTCGTCTCAGCCATTGTGGTAGTTCTCTGCCTGTGCATGGCGGCAAAGCGCCACGACGCCACCCGCCCCGTCGAGGAAGGGATGGCCCTAATCGAGGAAATGTGTAGCCAAACCAAACACAAGGAGCTGTGCGTGGACTCCCTGACCTCGGACCCCAACAGCTACCCGGCGGACAAGACGGGGCTAGCCCTGGTGGCCCTCCGCTTCGCCTCCTCCAACGCCTCGGACATCTCGGAGAGCATCAAGGTGATGTTCAATGACTCGACCCTGTCCAAGCCGATGGTGCAGGAGGCTCTCCTGGACTGCCTCGACGAGTACCTAGACGCGTCCCAACAGCTGGACGACTCCATCGCGGCGCTGACGGTGAAGGCGTATGGGGACCTGGAGAAATGGGTGAATATAGCCATCACGGATGTGCGCACGTGTGGCACCGAGTTGGGCAGCGAGCGCCCACCACTGCTGACGGAGAGGAATGAAGTGTTTATTAAGCTGTGTGAAATTGCGCTGACCATTTCCAAGATTGCCCAGGGTGAAGGGAACTAATTATAATTATTATTATTATTATTCTTATTCTTATTATTATTCTATTTCTTTTGTATGGAGGACCCAAATCGCTGGCTTAGAGGGAGATGTTTATATGTTTCATCAAAACTTTAAATAAGCTTTTGAAACATAAAAAACCTGTTTTGTGGGTAATTGCCATCTCATGTTCTTTTGCCTTTTGGGTCTTTTTCTTATAAAAATCTATATGTTTCATCAAATTCAACATTTCAATTTATACCTTATGCTTAAATGAAAACAATGAAATAATGAAAATAACGAGCTTAATTCTAATTGTTTTGTTTATTCTAAGTAAATCATGGGGCGATTCGTCCTATTCATATATTTACGACTAAGAAACATTGAGTTCTCTCTCGGGTAGGGAATGCCGTGAAAGGAGGAGGAAAGACTGGAATGCCAATAAGCGTCTAATAGTACCCCATTTTAGAACGTCCCATGTCAATCTTTAAAACGAACTATGTAATGTAATTTATCTAATGGGTTATACCCATATCAACAAAATTGGTATGACATTAGTGAAAAAGTTCTATGTAATGTAATTTATTTAGTGAAAAAGTTCTATGTAATGTAATTTATCTAATGGGTTGTACCCATATCAACAAAATTGGTATGACATTAGTGAAAAAGTTGTATATCCATCAAAATGGTGATCTGGGTTGTAGCGTAATCTAATTTAGAAGGGGCAGGAATGTGACTCAAATTTGGAAGAAATCTACCTTATTACTTGCGACTCGACTTGGAATGGTTTTTTTTTGTTTTTGTTTTTGTTTTGTTTTTGTGTGTGTGTGTCAGCTTTTGATCTGTGTTTTACAGAGAAGCATGCAAGGTAGAGAAGAAGAAAACATGGAAATGCAGATGCTTCTGCATGTGGTGGGAGAGAGTAACCATTATTTGATGCACATGGAAATGGAAGCCCCCTCCCCCCTTTCTAACAAAAACATCCACTTTTTCTCACCACATTTCATCTTTGAATTCAAACCCATCATCCTTTTCTTTGTCCTCTATATAATTCCCGACCTCTCTACGATCTTGTTCGTTCCTCGAATCTTGTTTTTCCGTTTTTTGTTTTTTAAAATTAAATTGTTTAAGTAGATAAGATAAGATACAAATCGTCCCTACTACACTTAAACTAATCTTAAGTTCATCTAAAAGATTGGCCGTGTCTGCCTCAGGGGACACGTTCCTCTCACTCTCAAGGGGACACGTTCCTCTCACTCTCAAGGTCTGGCCTTTGAGTCTATAGACTACCTCTCCCTACCGCTTCTCTATAAGATCAACTAAGTCTTTTTGGATCTCACATCAGAAACAATTCTCTTGATGTTGAATTGACAAGTCCAAAATATACATCAGTGGTCTTTAATACTTGAAGTTGCTAAATAAATCGAAACTCGATCCGAATAGTTCTATGTCGGATATATATGAATAGATATCGAAGATGGGTTGAGCTACAATGTGTTGGATATGTCATACAAAAAAAGGATGGGAAAATTTTGGTAATGTTGGAGTGATTTTATGGGCATCACCCAACCATTTTGTGACTTAGTCTATGAACTCAAAGATCTTCAATATCATCCACACCTCTTAGTTTATTCAATTTTTTTAAAAAAATTACATCTTTTTGTTGTTAATGCACTGGCATAAACATGAACTTCATGATCACTCTTAACTGACCCAAAAGATAAACGTTTTTCTTTGTACCTTTTTGCTCTATAAATACTTCTTCATAGCTACCATCATCTGCACCTCAACCAAACATGCCTCATTCTCCTCTCTCATTCAAACTTATTACCTTTTTTTACCTTCTTCTCACCCTTTCGGGTGCCTCTCTCGCCACGGTCGGCCACCATCGTCGCCCTCGTTTTAGCCCTCATAACTATAGAGACGCGCTTGCCAAATCTATCCTCTTCTTCCAAGGCCAGAGGTCCGGGAAGCTCCCTCCAAGCCAGAAGATGGCTTGGAGGAAAGACTCCGGTTTATTTGATGGCTCAACAATGAACGTAAGTCGAATCATTTGATCTAATATCATGTTAAATTATCGTAAAATCTAAGCGGATATTTACGACGATAACAGGTTGATTTGGTTGGTGGGTACTATGATGCTGGGGATAATGTGAAGTTTGGGTTTCCTATGGCTTTTAGTACCACCATGCTTTCTTGGAGTGTGGTTGAGTTTGGTGGGGTTATGAGAGATGAACTCAATAATGCTAAAGAAGCTATTCGTTGGGCCACTGACTATCTCCTCAAAGCCACTGCTCTTCCGGACACTGTTTTTGTTCAGGTCGGTGTGGAATAATATCATATTATTGTGGAGATATGAACGAGGTTAGTTTTGATTTCGGGTCATTTTGCAGGTGGGGGATGCTAACAAGGACCATGTTTGTTGGGAGAGGCCAGAAGACATGGACACACCAAGAACAGTGTTGAAAATAGACAGGAACTCCCCTGGTTCTGAAGTGGCAGCTGAAACTGCAGCTGCTCTTGCTTCTGCTTCATTAGTGTTCAGAAGATCCGATCCCTCCTACTCCAAGCTGTTAATTAAAAGGGCCATAAGGGTAAAGAAAACCAACAATTTTGATCCCACGTGGTGGTTTCCAAGTCCACGCGTTTTAAAAATTTGCTGGGAAGTGAGAGAAAACCCAAAAAGGATAATATCGGCTAGTGGTCGGCTGGGCTTTCCAAATGATATCAGAATCAGACACGGGGCGATGTGCTAGCGAGGAGATTGAGTCTTGAAGGGGGTAGACATTAGGCGGTGTGTCGCTAGGCCTGAAGGGGGTGGATTGTGAGATCCCACATCCGTTTGAGAGGAAAGGGAAAGCCCAAAGAGAATAATATCTGCTAGGAGTGAGCTGGACTGTTACGAATGGTATCAGAGTCAAACACATGACGATGTGCCAGCGAGGAGATTGAGCCCCGAAGGGGGTAGACACTAGGAGGTGTGGCAGCAAGGACGCTGTCTCTGAATGGAGGGGATTGTGAGATCCCATGTCGGTTGGAAAGAGAAACGAAGCATTCTTTATAAAGGTGTGGAAACCTCTTCCTCGTAGACGTGTTTTGAAAATCTTGAGAAGAAGCCCGAAAGGGAAAGCCCAAAGAGAACAATATCTACTAGTGGTGGGCTTGAGCCGTTACAAGAACCGTACTAAACGGCC